ATTTCCAAGCTACAGGATGTTGTAAAAATTTAAAAAATATAGATCCTAATAACTTTCGAAGCTTAGCTTGCGTAGACTTATTTGATAATACTCTAATAATAAAAACATATTATTAAATGAATGAAAATATACTTAATATTTTTGTGATTTTCATTTTCCTATGTTAGCAGTGGAAAAAATGGAATTAATAATAATACTTCGTCAAGTTTAGACTTGGCACTAACACCAGAAGCATCTACATCAGCTGCTGACAGTGAAGAACGAAGTAATGGTCAACAGAGTCTTCCTCAAATTCTCAATCTACATCCAAAACAGTCGTTGAAAAGACTAGCAGGAAACGCAAGCCTGATGAATTTGAGAGAAAAATTAAACAAATTCTGGAAAAACCAATAGAAAAAGGCGACACAATGGACAGGAATCCTCACATGATACAAGCTGACTTCCATAATAAGCGTTCTTTCATAATGAAGTCGACAACTGCTCGATACAACTGTTCAACTAGATCTAAAACAAATTCACCGGAACCGTATGAATGGTTATACGTTGCACGATCGGTAATTTCACCGGTCCGTCAGTTTACTGGACCGTTAAAAAAACGGATAATGTAAAAGAGCTCTTAAGCGGAATGTGGAGGGGTAGATTCTGTCAAATCTGTAAATGAATTTGGAAATTGAGGGAATATTTACCAGCTGATTTATAAAAACGGCACGCTTAAAAGACGTACATTTTTGCGTTTGGAAAAGTAATGGCGTAGTTCTTTAAGGCGCTTAAAGACAAGTCTTAAGATGAGATCTCGCTAAAATATGCCTTTAGTATATTAGTATATGACATAAATTAGGATTGGTCATTTCAGGTTTTTGGTCACTTCCTGTTTCACCGGAAATAACTACAACTTTTGATTTTTAAATGACACCTTAGGTATTTTTTACTTTAATCGATTAAAAATGACACTCTGAATAGAATGACATATCATATGGCAAAGTTTTTTTTATCCGAATAAATAAAAAAGTTATAGGGGTGAGCAACTTTTGAGACGCACCCGGTATATGATATGGTATCTTGATGGATTTGTTAAAAATAACGTAATGCGATAGAAATTGTTAGCTAAGGAGAGAATTTACAACAGAAGAATTTCATGGTTTATGGTTCTTCAAAATACGACGTTACTATTAGATCATGTTAGATTTTAAAAATCTTATGACAAATCGTCGATGAAATGTGTTAAATTGCTCCATTATTAACTCCATTATTCCTAATTTTACAGGACAGAAAAGAAACGGTACAAAAAAATATGTACACATGTGGCAAGTACCGCATGATCGAAAAAAACGGCGTCAGCGATGGCTATGAAATGAAGATCGCTGTCATTTTATATGTAAATTTGTATGGAATGGATGTCATCGATCGTCATTTCCCAGCCAGCTGGACGCCGTTTTTTTTTTAATAAAATAAAGAGATTATGGTATTATTTAGTTAAAGTCAAAAATGGAGTTAGCAGGTTAACACGTTTTACTGACGCAATGAAGTTTTCAACGCATAACTTATTTTTATATTCATGAATCTCTTTCATTTATGTACCATACCTATACCTATTATGTGCACCCTGAGATTATAATTGCTGTCCTCCATTGGCGAACTTCGAGTTCCGGGCTTTACGCCCTGGGGCTACTCGAGAACGGTTCTGAAAGGAGCTGTGCGCGATAGTCTAGTGCCACCATATGGCGCGGAACAGTTCTGGAACTTTATGACTCAATTAAATGGAGTAAGAGTATCGCGTTCTTGAACAATTCAGAGCTGCACAACTGCGTGAATGGAGGACAGCAACTGAATGGAGTGAGAGTATCGCGTTCTTGAACAGTGCAGAGCTGCTTAACTGACTTGTGTCTAGCCCTAGCAGGCAACTATTAGGCCCGACCAATCACGTTAGAGTTTTTGACAAACACAAATGAATTAACACACTTCAAATAACCACGCTAACCAACCTGATTGGTCAAGCTTAAAAGTTGACTGCTAGGGCTAGACACTTCTCTTAACTGCGTGAAAGGACAGCAAATGAATAATCTGTCAGACGAGAATAATATGACATATAACATTTACATTACTGACATACTGACACTGACAATTGTCTGTCATTAGACCTCAAGGTCAGCTGCCAACTTGTGAAAACATAATAATCTTTGGCGGGACAGACCTTTTTAATCCTATATCCATGCAATATACATATGTAATAATAATGTAATAAATGTATGAATATGTGCGTAATATTTATTATTCAGCTATTGATTATATTTTAGCCAAGACCTATGAAATTTGCTTTAAAACATCGACAAAGCCTAAAAATAAAGTGGTACTAAGAAAAAATATTTTCAAATTCAATTATGCACTTAAGAATACAAAATGCCATTAAACATTATACTGTATCTATTAATGGTCCATGTGTTTGTTGAAAACCTAAATAATATGCAAATGCTTATTGACATTTTGTAAAAGACACTTAAATACATATTTAGAAATATCTAAACATTGATCTGAAAGTACTAAAGAACAATTATAGAAACAAACATTGCAATAAAGTACCTTCTTCTACCGTCTTGACTTGAAGAACTCATTTCGGAGTAACTGAAAATTGTACTCTCGTGAAAATCAAAGCTTTGTAATTGCAACTTGATATAAAAAACACGAATCTTTCAAAATTAGACCATCTGGCAGCGGAATTAACAAATAACATGCTGTTTTAACGTTCATGAGTCAGCCCTAAAAGCTTTGTGTTGATCCTTACTTTAAATACCAGTAATTTTTTCGAAAACAATATTAAATTACAAGAATAATATAGGTACCATCACTATATTTCATATTAAAAAATTGATATACCTAGCTTGTGACTTAAATTTACTAAATAAATAACCTATTATTTTCATTATTATTTGTTATAATACATATAAATAATCAACTCTATCTATAACAGACAAAATTTAAATAGGTTACGTAAATATTAACGTAAAGATTTTAAACAAATTGAAACTGGACTATATAAAAGTGTCATGTCAAAAAAATAAACAAATTTCAAGAGAAACTCCAACATAAACAAAAAAGTCATGAATACGTGTTTCACTTTAAAATTAAACAAATTATAGAGTTGTTATCCAAAATAAAAGAATGTAGGTTTAATTAAATCAATAATATAACAATTACATATATAGAATATTAAACATAGAAAAAATAAAAGAAACTACAAATAGTCATTCAGGGGGTGGGAAGTAGATGTAATCATTATAGGATAGGTTCAACACACCCAGTGCTTCAAATCAATAAAAATACAAAATAAAGGTATAAATAACACAATTTAAAAGAAGTCGAGAATCGCAAACAAAAGAATTATAAATAGGGATGGAACAATACATAAATATCATATTTTTTTCTTAAAAACCTACTACTTGAAAGACTTTTTGTGATATAGTAGTTGAATGGCAATTTGTTTTATGAGTCACAATTATGTATTTTTTCTGCTATAATTAATCAATTTATTGTCATACAGTTTCAAATATAGATCAACACAACAACTTGCAAAATTATCCGAAGTTTGCAAATAACCGGATTAAACACCTTAATGTAGATATGCAAAACTTACCTAGACATTTTAACTTTTCAATGAAAACACCTTCAAAACATCACTTTAGAATAGCTAACATAATACCACTGTACTTTCACACCCTTAAAACTATATCTCACAATATTTTTGCCATAGTCCATCTATAAATCAACCCCAAAATTCGTCCATAACATCACTACAACACTCTCGGATTCGCCATCATTCGCCATGATATTTGACCAGCCCGTCAACCAACCAATCACACGTTGAGGTGCGCGGAGGGAAGTTTGAATCATCAAGGAAGTTCTAAGTGGTTCTAAGATTTTGTGTTAAAAGATCGAATATCAGTGACAAATCGGAAATTCCACTCAATGTTAGTTAAATACGAGACATATCAAGAAAAGCGCTAATTTTCTTAATTCAATTTCAGAAAATAATTTTACTTAAAACTGTGTATACTTGGTCAAAAATAAAATTAAAAGTCTATAACAATCAAAATCTGCTTAAAGAGTAAAAATTAATAGTTGCATTAATTACTACTGAATATGGTAATCACTGAAATGTAATATGTAATAAATTAATTTAATATATTTAAACTTAAAATTTATAAAAAAATTGGGTTACGCTGACATCTGTTATTGGTTCTATGTACTGCAGCGCTGTCCAGTATAGATACCTTATTACTCTAATAAGAAGCTTCAACATTTTACACTAGATGGACATAGCATCGATATTTTTTTAAAGACATTATTTTTTATATAAAAAATATTTGTAAACCCCAACTTAAACCCATCTTAAAACACATATTTTTATTTCTGTATTAATTATTCCGTTTACTATATATATGTAAACTTTATAATGTAAGACATCAATTCTATATAAATTAATCTATATAAATAGAACAGTGCATTTTACATTTTACATATTACATTTTTTATTTATATGATATTTTATATGTATATCCCTTGGTTATATATAGACAAGGGTACATCTCATCTATGCTGTATTTTTTACAATAATTAATAAATATAGTATATACAATGTATGCGTTATCCTAATAATATATAGTTAAATTGTATTTATGTTTATGTAGTATGCATTTTTTGGGTTGTATTTAAGTTATTTACAGATATGTGTTATGATAATTCAGTATTCGGTAGTCCTTCGTCTCTAAAAGAAAATTCATTTACAAAAAAAATAGTTCCCTCCATAACCACTATCACCAGTATGGAAACCAGTCACGGAAACCCAATGACGGAAACCAGTTAAAGAATAAAATAGCCGGTAAAACAGCTAGCCATCGTCTATAAATTAGTTCTCAAAGTTACCATAGGGGCGCTGTATGTCAAAGATCATATTGCTCATATATAAATATTTATTTTGAAATTGTGTCATTTTGTATTCTGTGGCTATATGCGATGAGGACACTTGATTCCGATTTCCGATTCCAATTTTCATAATTTTTTACAGCTCACTCCTGTGTTGTGAATTGAGTGTAGTTGTGGTGTTAGTGATATTTATAAACGGTTTAAATCATTCATCAATTTTAACACCGAAATTGTTAATTAGAGTAAGAATAAAGTGATCGATTTTGCACACCTTATGTCATAAAAAACAAAAATAAACCTATTTCGTGACAGGTTGCCTTTTGTTGATAAACAGTGAACGGTGCAAAAAAGAAAAATTGGCACAGGTTTTAAAAAAGTTGTCAATTTGTGATTTTGGTTCAACAAAACTGTGGTGAGTAGTATTTTCAATTTGGCACTAGAATTTACCGTTTAGGATTAATTTTAGAAAGTATGTAAACATTTACCTAGTAACAAAATCAATAATTGGTCATTGCGCTCAAGCAAAGGGGGTTGTAATAAATATCATGACCGCAATATAAACAAAGGAATATCAGATTTATCTTGATTTTTGTTTAAAAATTAATAATTATTATTTTCTTTGGAAAGCAGCCTCAACGAATAGTAGATACCTAATTACCTATTTTATGTAAACTATTTATATTTTTTTATTATCTTTGTAAACAACCTACGCTTAATATCTTGTAGATATTAATCAAAGAAGTTTTAATAATTAGCGATTCATTTTTATTTCATTTTATAATTTGTTCGCGATTTCCTTAAATCTCGTCAAACATATTGTATGCTTTTGAAGTGTATTTTAAAGGGCTTTCCCGAGGGCCAGAGAATAGGTACATTAAAGAAATGCTAACTTCATGTTAAAAAATTGGAAACAGACGCCACCTGGTGTCGCCTGGCAGTACTAGCTAAATTGAGGGGAATTGGAGGGGCGGGGCTTAAAAGAGGGGAAATTTTTAAAAAAATATTTTTATAAGTATCACTGACTTACTGTTTAAAGTTAATAAACATATTTTTTATTACTTTAATATAATTTAATGTATTAAAAAATATGTCTATTAACTTTACACAGCAAATCAATGATATTATTAAAGACTAATTATTTTCAGAGAAAATTCATAGTAAATAAATTACACATTAGTAAACAATATCATTTATTTTTTAGAGCTGCGATTTATATTACAATAATATTGAAATATATATATATTTTTAACAATGAAAAAGAATATCCCGGAACCTGAAAAAGAAAGATGATCAATTAATGACTTAAATTAGTTCAAAATACATTTTGCAAATAACTAGTGAATTGGAAAGATAAACATACTATTAAAAAGACTATTATTTACTGATAATACATTACATAAGTATATAATAGGTAAATAACATGCATAAGGCACTATGATACAACTACCTGTATCATGATAACACACTAATATGACAAAAAATATATGCTAATTTAAATTCCTTTAATGATCTAATGAAACACTATCTACCCTCAATGCATGCCATTCCAAAGGCAAAAAAAAACTGTTATACCAAATGAATATAAGCTGAATAAAACATAAACCAAGCCAAAGTGCATAAACAACCAAAAAATGCATCAAAAAATACTTTTATCAGATCATACCCTTGGATATATTATGTATTTTATATATCGCACATCCCGTTCAAAAGTTTACTAACTCAAAATAGAGAATATAGAGAACATTGTCAGGAGAAGTAAAAGAAAATTTAAGTTAAGGCAATATGCTCCTTTTTGCATATTAACGGCCAAATAATATAATGTTGATTTAATAAAATTTTACTGGCATCCTTCTGAGGTATAAATCAGATTAAAAGGACATTGTTTTTTTAATAATTGTTTGTTTTGTAAACATTTTTTGAAGACAATACAGTTTTGAACAGGCTGTGCGATGATCTTACTATTATTTGAGGTTAGAAAGTATTTAAATAATATAAAACATAATCAAAATCATTTTTCATCATAAATTATAGAGGTACTTACGTGTTTTGATTTTATTATCAGGAAATAATACGTTTAGTTAAACAGGTACGCTGCCAGGCAAGTTCTATCGGCGGGTCTTTGCAAGAGTTGAAATCTAAAAATACAAAAATACGTTTACATCTTAGTTGTATTTACGAATAAAGTATTTGTGTGTAATTTCTGACTTACCAGTTAATTGAATAATCGCATTAAATGCATCCAAATGGTAATTTAATATTGTAAAAAAGCAAAATTGTTTTAAATCACTTGCCAGGACAGCCCGGCCAGCTTCTTTGTTGACAAAATGGCCGCGGTATCATGATTTAAGCAATGTGAGTGACAAAGAAAGCCAATGCCTGGCAGATGTTGCTTTCTTTGTCGTTGGTCCTGGCACGTTTAAATTTGACTGTTGCCTGTTTTCCCATACAAGTGACACCCCCGTGCCGAGGGCTTTTCAGTTTTTATTTTATACTGGCAATTTACATTTCAATCTACAATAATTTATTAGCATTCATATTTCACATAAAAACAAATAGCTAGTAAACTAATGCCTGCAAGTGATAATATAAAAATTTTATTAAAAATTATAACTACTGCTAAATTATAATTACTTGCCTCATTAATTGTCAAAATTACATTGTGTATGTGGCAGATAATATTCCTTACACGAAATAATGTTTTAACTGGAGATCATCTGGAGATAAAGAATACCTATAACCAAAATGCCAAAAAGTCTTGACTGAAAATAAGTATTCCGAAAATACATTACCTACCTACCTGTGGTGTTACCTATTTTATATGAAAACTGGTTAACCCATAAAGGTTAACCCATATTTTCTACTTTCAATACTAAACTAAAGCAAATTTATTAAATAATAATACATAAAGCTAGTTCCTCTAGTATCAAATACGATTTGTTTCATGTCAAAACAAAGTGCACATTGTCGTATACATAGTTGTTCAGGTTGCTTCAGTAAAGTACCTAATGTTTTTTTTTTCGTTTTGGAGAACGTTTAGTTTTTTCATTTGTTTCGTAAAACCACATTTGCAATTGCCCTTCTACTGAATGTAAATTGAACAAGACAGCATTCAGTAGGAGGACTTGCCAATAGTAGATTCAAAAAAGAATTACCTAATACAGTTAAAAAGCAAAATAAAAACACTAAATCGCCACAATACACCAAAACACTTTTACTTTTACACTAGACGCGCGTTTCGCTAACCATGTTAGCATCATCAGCAGATGATTATATATATAAACAGTTTATAATCATCTGCTGATGATGCTAACATGGTTAGTGAAACGCGCGTCCAGTGTAAAAGTAAAAGTGTTTTGGTGTATTGTGGTGATTTAGTGTTTTTATTTTGCTGTGTAACACCAAAGGTTCCAACCCTCAACTGTAATAATAATACAGTTTCCGACAAGATCAGCACCTACCGGCATCCGACAAAATATTGTTTACGAGTATACTGAACGTAATCGTTACGTGTATGATACGATACGTCCCTGAGAGTTTTACTATTAAGGTCTCTGCACATTATCACACACGTATCGTTTCAGGGACGTAACGTCTTGATTCCAAAAATATTATTTACTGGTGAATTTACACTATCCGGCACGTATCGCATTGTTTTCGTTGAGTATACTCGTAAATAATATTTTATCGGATGTCGTTTGCTGCGGATCGTATTTTGCCGATGATCCAGATCCATACACGTGGAACGTTGAGACTTGAGACCTGTCTACGTACGTGTTGCATTACAGATGTATCAATATATATTTTCTGTACTTTTTACACTAATTTAGTTATTAATTGTTGCAAAACTGGCTTTATACAATTGCTGTCCTCCATTCGCGAATTTCAAGTTCCAGAGCTTTACGCCCTGGGCTACTCAGAACGGTTCTGAAAGGAGCTGTGCGCAATAGCCTGGTGCCTTCATATGGCGCGGAACAGTTCTGAACTTTATGGCTCAATTGAATGGAGTGAGAGTATCGCGTTCTTGAACAGTTCAGAGCTGCACAACTGCTTGAATGGAGGACAGTAAACAACTAGCGTGTACCCGCGACTTCGATCGCGTCGAATTAATCATTTGTAATGATGATGATAAAGCAAAGCAAGAATTTCCATTAACATACAAACTGGATAAAATTTTCTCACATTTATGTCAGCATGAGAAAAAACAATTGGCGATATTATTATATAATTTGGTAATAGTTGAGGGGTAGTTTCATCTCGTTGGAATTTGACTTTCGAAAAACCCGTTTGTCAAAAATAAGCTTTTTACCCAATTAGCAATTACCCAACTTTTTGGAACACCCTGTATGATTTTTTAAAAAAATTCAAAATATGTAAAAAAACAATATAAATTATGCTTGTCCAAGCGTTTTCCCGAAAGACTCACCGTTTTTTAAATAACAAATATTGTAATATTTGAGGGGCGTTTTCACCCTCTTGGAATTTGAGATTCGAGAAACCCCTCCTTATCGAACCTCTACACCCTACAGTCAATCCGATTGCCAAAAATTAGCTTTAAAAGTCAAGCAGTTTAAGCAGAATCGTTATTACCTCAATGGTCATATTTTATCAGACACCCTATATACATACATTTTTTAAAAATCTTAAATTTGTAAAACAACAAAATAAAATATACGTGTTTAATAGTTTTTTCGAAAAACTCACAGGTTTTTAAATAAAAAATATTCTAATAAGTATTTGAGGGGTGGTTTCACCTCCTTAGAATTTGAGTTTCGAAAAATCCCTTCTTATCGAACCTCTACACCCTAAAGTCAATCCGTTTTCCAAAAATCAGCTTTTTACGTCAAGCGCTTTAAGCAGGATCGTGATTAATCAATGACCAGATTTTTCGAAATACCCTCTATACTAAACTCCCTATACCTAACCTAACCTAACCTAACCTAACCTAACACCCTCTATACTAAAAAATCTTAAAATATATGTAAAAAACAAAATAAAATATACCTATTGTACGTGTTTAAGCGTTTTTTCGAAAACTTGACCGTTTTTTAAATAAAAAATATTGTAATATTTGAGGGGTGATTTCACCCCCTTGGAACTGGAATTTCGAAAAATCCCTTCTTATCGAACCTCAACACCCTAGAATCAACTTGTATGGCAAAATTGAGCTTCTTACGTTGAGTGGTTTGAGCAGGATCGTGATTAATCAGTGAGTCAGTCACTTAAGGATTTTATATATTACGGTTAAAGTCCGATGTCCGGTTAATGTCGACATTAACAGGTTAATGTTTGAGTTTGGTTTTGTTTTTGGTTGTTTTGTTGTGCGTTATTCTCGAGATTAACTGGGTAATGTCGATATTAACCGAATATCGGACCTTAACCTTAACATATATTAGTATAGATTGACAAGAATAT